ATTTGAACGAATTTGAATTATTATATAATATATTTTTTTACATAAAAATATATTTAAAAATGAATTAAAAATAAAAAAATAAAAATAATAATTGACAATATTTTTAATTTATTTTATGAATTTTTAAAAATTCAAAAAGAAATAAATAAAGTTTAATTTTTCAAATGTATCATCTTTCCATCTTATTTATAAAAGAATATTTTTATTTTGGAAAAAATATTTTAAAATTTATATCAGAAAGAATCAATTAAATTAAAAAAAAATATCTGCAATATTTTATTAATTTTTTTATTTTCTTATTTATATAAAATAAAAATTCATTTTAGTAGACTTAATCTTTTATATGTTAAAAAAGGAAGTAAGATTTTAAGAAAATTAAAAAAGAATTTTTTGTTATTATTAATATTTTCAGATTTACTAATATTTATACAAATTAAAATTTTAATTTATCAAAAAAATCCTAAGAAAACATTTTTAAAAGAATAATAATGATACATGTTTATTCAAACGCAGGGGCGCAAGAATATGGTGAAGCAGCCGCGTATATTCAGGCGCAATTCGAGGCGAGGAACAAGTCAACCACTAAGGAGATCTACTGCCATATGACTTGCGCTACTGATACAACCAACATTCAATTCGTGTTCGACGCAGTCACAGATGTCATTATCGCCAATAATCTTCGTGGCTGCGGTCTCTATTAGAATAAATATTCCCGTCGCGGAGCCGATCGACCGACACACACACACATGGTTGAACTCACACTCATACCCGTATAGACATGTTATATTACAAGAACGAGGGTGCGCGTAAGAATGAAAGACTACGATAATGTCAACTACCGAGAAAAAGATTGAGTGATAGAGTGGGAGAGAATGGTTGAAAGAACGGGAGAGAAAGAGATACATCTATGTACCATCACTACTATTACCGACCACCTGCGGATACCTTCTCAATTTTTATTACCAAACACCCTTTTATGCCAATTCTTTCAACGTTTTTCCTTATCGTATTAAGCAATTCAATGTCGATTCCAATATTTATATATAATATGCTATTTATAAGTTGATATGAAGAGAAAGCTAAGAATTCCTTCTTGAACAAGATTTACAAGATTGTTAAATGATATTGCTAAAATATTAGCTGTGGAAAGTTGTTAGTACAATAATATCTCTTAAAAAAGGTAATATTGTTCATTGTGCTTTGTGATATACAAAAGTAAATGTGTTTGAGAGAGAAAATTTGAAATATGAGCAATGAGAAAAATGATATTTCTTTATTATAAAAATTTATTTTACAGATTGGATTTTTTTTAAAAAAAGTAAACAAATTTCGCATAAATTTTTGAGATGATTTTGACTTTATAACATAGATATTAATTGAAATTATTGATTATTAAATTTATTATCATAAAATTTTTATTTTTTATAATTTAATTTTTTTTGATAATTTATTCAAATTTAATATTTGCATTAAATTCAATTTTTAAATTAATACAAATTTAATTGATCTTTTTTCTTTGATTGAAATTTTATTAAATATACATAATACATTAATTAAACTTAAATAAATCTTAATAAATCAATGAATTAAAAAGAATAAAAGAAATAAAAAATACTTATTATGTAATATTGGTTGTAAAATCAAAAAGTCAACAAGTTTATAATTTATTTGTAATTCGAAATCAAATTTCATTTATTTATTATTTTATTTTTTTATTAAAATGCATTTCTGAACAAATAAACATATTATTTATATTTATATTTATTATTTATATGTTTCAATCAAAGTTAGCAAGATTGATTATAAAAGACTTAATATTATTTTTATACATTAATTTTTTTTTTATATCAATATGTATTATCAGTTTTGACATTATATATTAAACAAAATCAATTTGATCTGAAATCTGAAAATCAATTTATATAAAAAAGGTTAATAAGTAATTGATTATGATCAAAAAAATTAAAAAATTAAAATTAAAATTATTAAAAAATTAAGAAAAATCAATTTTCTTATCAAATGTCATTAATATTTAAAACTAGATATATTTATAAACAATTAAATTTATTATTAGAGAATTATTATTATTATTATTTATTTGATTAGAAAAATTGCATGAGTTAAAGATAATAATTTAATTCTCTGAAATTAATAAGTAAGGAAAATGTTGAAAGAGAGCACAATAAATAATCCAAAGTTTTCATAGATTTCACGATAAATTGCACAAAAATCAATCATAAAACATATTTGGATCTCAGAATTCTTCATCTGCTTTTATTGTAGGAAGAGATTTATTGTAATATTAAATATATTATAATATCTTACATTCTGATTACAAATTAACATAGAGTCTGTCTGTATGAGTGAGATAATGGTTACATTTATTTAAATTAGATAGACTCTATATTTTCTCAAGAACTAGTAAAGATAGCAACGGCTAGCTTGCAACGAAAAATTTCCAAACCAAAATATAAGATATTACAGTAGCTAGTTTTTTATTTAGATAGAAAATTAAATTAAATGAAATATCTTGTTTAATATATTATTTGAATTATTATTGATTGTTTCACAAAATTCAATATTTACAAAATATTCAAAATAAATATGGCTTTTCTTTAATAATTTAAGGATTAAGTAACTAAAAGATTTTGAAAAGAAAATAATTTTTAAAATAATTTTTAGTAATAAATTTCATAATTTTCTATCTGGAAATAATGATTTACAATATAATATGCAATCTTTTTTTACGTGTAATATAATAATATTATTCAAATATTTTAACTCTAATTAAATATGTATATTATTTTATTGCCAAGCGTATCAATCGCGCACAACAAATCAAGAAAAAAATCTTATTTTTATTTTTATATTTACTTAACTATATTTTTGTGTAAATCTACAATTTATAAATTTGTGAACACTTTTTAATATCAATATTATACAGTTCAATTTTTAATTAATTCTGGGATAGAAAAATAAATCAGATACGTGAAAAAATTATATAAAAATATAAAAATAATATAAATCGAAATATGATAAAATTAAACTATAATCTCAATATAGTATAAGACCAATATAGTAAAAAGAAGCACATAAAGAAAAAGCAAAACATCTGATACAGAAATCTTAAAATTCGATTTCCAAAAATGTTAAATACTTTCTAAATTATTTTGATTTGAACTAAAATGAAAAAACAAATAATATATATGCATAAAAATATACATAAAAACAAATTATCTTTCATATCGAAGATTGAAATCAAATCGAAGATTTCATTTCGTTTCATTATTATGCATATTTATATAATTCTACGTACACGATCGCACAATTGCATGCAATTACATGCACATATTACACAAATATATAGAACATTCGCAAGATATTTACATTTATACATTGCGAGAAGTGAAAAACTTTTAAACAAATTGAGATCCTTGAATTTCTGATTTCGAACAATTTAATTTACATACATTATAATTATATTTCTTAATTAAATTAGATATATTTAATTAGTTTTATTTATTCGATAAAGTTTTGATTTCATACTAAATTCTAATTTTGAATTAATCTAAGTTTTATTTTCATACTTCTTTTTTCATCGAGAGAATTCTTATAGGCTCTAAAATGAATATTGTGCCGATCGAAACATTCCATGTACAATCAAATACAGTTTTCTATTTCCTATTTCTCCTTTTTTAATATTTAATTAACGCATATTATGCTAACATTCTTTATTATATAATATTTTTATTCAGATATATTTTTTTTTAATACTCACTTCCTTTTCTGGAATTGCAATTGTGATTACGTATAAAAAAGACATGTATAAATTTTCTTAGAAAAGTTTAATAAAAATATCACTTGACATTTTTATATTGTAAGATATAATTCTGAACAACTATTTTATATTTAAAATTTTATAAATATTTATTATGAGTTATTGAAAATTAAAAGTTTTTTCTTAATTTCAATTGCAATTCGACGTTGAAAAGTATTTGACCAAAAAGAACCAAAGAATTGAGTAGATCAATAATTACAGATATATATAAAAAAAGAAAGAGAAAGAGGAAGAGAGAAAAAATATTTTCGAATGCTAATTAATCTAAATTATGTATATGTACAAAAGATAGAATTCTTTTTTAAGAAAATTAACAAATTTTACTATTATTATTTTTTTATTATATTATTATTATTGTAATTTAGATTACAAAAAAAACAAAGAATATTTTCTTTGTTTCAATTTTGATTTTAATTTTTTTTCTCTTTTTGTGATTTTATATATCAATTTCATGAATTATTTTTAATTGAATCTTTTATTGTTAATTGGATCTAGAAGATAAAAATAAAAAAAAAATAGTATTATTTTCACCGTCGTTGCCATATTATTGTAAAAATTAATATATAAATTTTAAGAATATCGATTGTAATTAATTAAGTATTTCTATGTGTAATAATCGTAATTATGTATAAATTAGTACGTACATAAAACTTCTAGTCAAATAGAGAACGTACTAGTTCGTATAAAATATAAAACGGAGAAGCGATTACTTCATTTTTTTGTAGTAAAAATTTTTATTATTCATAACGATTAACTTTAATTTGATTTAATATCTGCAATGAATAATAAATTATTAAAAATATTAACTTTTATATTTACATCATATTATGGTTTGGTTATATTTGTTAATTAAGTTTAAAAAAAAATGATTAAAAAAAAAATTTTATAAATGTTGAATGTATTTTAGCAACAAAAATAAAGCAACCAGTGAAAGAAAAGAATTATATAAGATTGTAAATGGATTGAAATCGAGATAATTGTAATACGTAATGAATATGCAATTTCAAATCAAGAAATTGTATTTCAGTTATAATTATAATTGCAATAAATGCAATTATAGAATAGAATAAATGCAATGAATTAAATTATATGTAGCAGTAATTGCTTTGAAATTATTTCTTTTTTGTAGTATTTCTCTGATTATCAACGACAATTCATACCATTAATAAAATTTTTCAATATTTTTTGAAGGTTGCTTCTCAATTTTTAAAAATAAAAAGAGCCGTTTTCAGGAATAAAGATTTATTTTCATTGACCTTTTTTTAAATAACTTGAATTTTATTCTAGTTTTCATTTACTCTTTTTATGCTTATTTAAATTATTTGTATTTTTTTTATTTCATTCTATTTTCTGTTTTTTAATTAATTTTATTAGTATGAAATTCAGGGATTTTTTAAAAAAAATTATATATATATATATANCTGCTTTGTATCAAATATTTTTATTCAGCTATTAGATTATGGTAATTTTTCAATCTGCAATTTTTAACTTATTTGGTCGCCTAATTAAATATTGAAATGTTTTGCACATTTTGAATTTACAATTTAAAAGACAGATTGCGGATTGAGAGATCGTTGCACCTAATTATTGAAAAATAACTGTTCATGATTCGTAAATTCCAATGAAAACTAGAAACCAAAAGAAAGAAAAATACGAAAAAAATATGAAAAAAAATTTATAAATATGTAAGTATGAATTGCAAAAAAATTACGAAATCTTATAAACGAAAAAAAGAACAAAAAACAATAATAACAATTGCGAAATAAAGAAAATGTTCCGAATATAAAAAGTCTAAAACAAACGAAAATAATATTTTTCACGAAGATGAAATAAAATTCTTATTATGAAGAATATTAAGTAACGAAACAAAAAATGTATGCGATGTTGTGAGAAATAATGTGTGTGTGTGCGCGCGCATGTGTGTGTGTGTATGTGTATATGACAGAAAAAAAAATAACGAACGAAGAATGAAAGGAAAAGAAAAATAGAAAATAATGGAAAAATAAAAAATAATGAAATAAACATTCGAACATCAGAATGAAAAATGAAATATAATATAATATATGCAAATAATCTTATTCTGGTTGATAAAATATCAATATTGGTTTTTAAAGATGGAGATAAAATAATTGAAATGAAGAAAAAGAAATAAAATACATAATTGACAATTTCAGCGTACGTCAAAATGAACTGTAATTCGATATTTGAATGTGGCACCGCATTAAAATTCTTAAGTGGGAGTAGGTGACTGCATGGTGGTGATAGACTGGTGGGCGGAACAAATACGGGAGTAACTAACACTAGTGTTATTATCATAATTGTAACGATTAATGGTAATGATTATAATCTTATCGATAAACGCTACATGATAACAAGAGACGTGGATAAAAGAAAAATATAAAAGAAATATCAAAAA